TTATCTGTTAGCGGATTTTCCTTCCACCCACGTACTAAAGATAGAAACGCTATTCTCAAAAGCAATTAATTTGCTGACAATTTCCCGAGCGTTTTAGAATCCCACAGCGTAAAAGGGCTACTGAAACGCGTTGAAAAATTCAATTCTCCGAACAAAAATTCCATTGAAATTGAATGGTTGCATCAAAGCATAAAATTGCATTTGCGGAATCCCTTAAAGTTCCGTTTTACATTCAATTTATTCTGAAAGGAAATTGGCACTGAAGGGAATGTGGTAGTTCCTTTGGAATTCTAAGCCTTCTCTTTGAAAGTGCGGTCGAGTTGGCTGTACCTCACTGTGCCGGAATTGCGATATTGTATTGCGGCGAGATATCCTCGATTTGATGGTATCCGAGTACTTGACTCAGATAAATATATGGCTATACTGATTGCACTTATACGCTGTGCACTGTCTGTAGTTTGCGAGTAGTACACATTTAAATAAAACACTTAAACGGTTTAAAACGCGAGTCTTCCCGTGGCCACGGCTGCTGCAAAGCATCTGAAAGTCGCGACGTAGTTAAAATCACTCTATCAAATCAAAAAGAAAAAATTAATTCTTATGTATTTCAGTTTATTAGCATGAATACAACAGTGTTGCTTTTGGATAATGTTAAAAGTGGCCATTTTGCAAAGCAATTTTGGTTTTCAAATTGTTCGATCGTCGTAATTGTGGACTTTTATAAAATCCTTAACTATTTTAATTAATTTAAGCGTTGCTTCACAAAGGTAAATCTCGCTAGCAAACCGCGTTACATGTAACATTTTAATACACAATATCAGCAAATAAAAAGTTAAGCTTTAACATTATACTCTGTTTTACGAACGCGAATGGGCGCTGGTAGCAATAAAACCAACGTATTTACCTGAACAGAGTTGGACTAAAATTCTAGTTTTATGGTGCCATAAAACACGAATATTTTCAGCTTGAATAAGGAGACCTTAAGTAAGTAGTTACTTAAAACAGTAGACAATTCGCTTTTATTGCTATATAGCTTCTGGAATGCATGAAAACAGTTAATCAGAGTTTTGTATCCTGCTTGACCAAAACATAACACATAATCTTTGCTTTCCTGGGATTCAAACTCAGTTTCTTCCATACTAAAACCATTGCAAGGCTAAAAAGATTCTATTAAGCCTTGAAAGGAGAAATAATATTTGGTATATAAATGTATGCAGAAGTATTCACTTAAATCCAATAGACTGACCCAAAAGTTAGTTTAATAACTTTTATCTGCTTGTTTAAGGGTGATAGATGATATTTTCGGTAAAATTGGGTTAACTTAGGAAAGACGTAACAAATGTTAAATTCATAAATATTAGACATTTTCTTTTACACTTTTGTCGCAAAATATTAATTACAATCATATTGTATTGTTACAAGAGCAGATACCTCCCACCTGACCTACCAAGGAAAGTCAATTAATGTAAGGTACTACATTAAAACCCTAATTTCTGAATAGGCAAAAAAATCTATTGCTCTTTGTGACGTCATTGATTTATTTTATTAATGGTCGCGCCGCATAAATCGTGAAGCTAAGTAAACTTCTTATATGAATTATCGTATGACGTAAGAAATTTACATTTTATTCGCTTAATAAAAAAATATCATCATTTTATTCATATCAATAATTCTGTACAACAATTACTAAAATCTTGATATTAACATATTTTATCTGTTTCAAACGCGGAAAATATTGCGTTAATTTTTATAAATTTCATGTAGACATTTAAATGTTTATGACGCGAAATGTATTGATTAACTTTCGTCGAAACGTTGGTCCGTAGTAAAACTATGTTAACACATTACTACATTGAAGTACAAAGTCATAATTCATTCATAAGACATATAAATTATGTTTCTCATCCTCCCATTTGTTAAATTAAATCGAGTCCCTGCCGAAACCTCAGATTCGATATTTCCCACTGTCTTTTTAAGCTCTGTAATTTATATGGTAGAATTACAGGTAAGTCGTAAAACACCGTTCGGCTGTTATTCGGGGGTTCAGGGACTAACATCAGTTTGTTCGACTGCTCAGCAGATTGATTCAATCAATTCCAATCAGCTGCCTCGTAAACGCTCTCAAAGTTCTTTTGCTTTACTTCGTCTGTTTATTTTAGAAGCTAAATACTAACGTAGCAAGCAGTAGTAGATGTTGATATCATGACACTGTCTGTAGTTTACGAAAGTAGTGCACAATTAAATAAAACACTTTAACGGTTTAAAACGCGACATATATTAGTTAAACGGCTCGACGTTTCGGATGCCTAGCAGTAGCCGTGGTCACGGGGAGACTTAATATATATCAAGTTTTAAACCGTTAAAGTGTTTTATTTAAATGATATTATGACAGTTTGAATTATAAATTATCAATTTTAATTAGCGTGTAGTTCATTAGTATAGCTTTTATGTATACTAAAACAAATAATTATTTATTAACAATATTTGGAAATAAATAATTCTTTCGGTGGATTTATTCTTTTATAAAATACGAAATAATGTATAAGCTTGCTACGTAAGCTTCAGTAAGTATTTAGATTTAAAGATTTGAATTAAAATAAAAATAATATTAACTGTTTAAAACGCGAAATGTATAAGTTAAACATATTTCAACTACGGCTCGACGTTTCGGATGCTTTGGAAACCGTGGTCACTGGGAGACCTGTTAAAATAAATGGTTAATTAGTTTAATTAATACATTTCGCGTTTAAAAACCGTTAAAAGTTTTCTAGTTTAATGTATACTACTCGCATAAACTATAAACAGGACCTAAACACGTCAATTTCAGATTGTCTTTTTTAATATAATTCGTTTTTAAGGGCGAGGCGAACAAGGAAATATTTTCAATTGAAAATCAAGTTGACACTGATTTGTATTAAATTTTGCAATCCTGTCGTTAAAAGCTTTATCGTTGACAGGCGTAAATGGGGAGGCAGAGTTTTACATTGATTTCGTTCGCTATTGCTTTTAGTGACGTCATTTTGTCATCTTTCTCGCGACGATGGAGTAGGCAGAAATTTTTTACTGTGTTAAGTTAGTTTAAAGTTTAAACCACACGCAGACCATCTTCATAACTAACTAGCATTGTGAGAGATAACTCATAATTAAGTAAACCATTACTTAGCCCGTAGTATCAACTAACAGTTTTATTCAAATTTATGAATAATACTCTCTAAAATAAAACTTAAAGAATTGAACAAAACATACTTATTGTAACTAAATTAATTTATACTAATCTAAGAAGTTTGTTTGTTAGAAACCGCTAATCTTCAGAAACTATAGACTTGAATTGAAAAAATATTTTTGTATTGGTTGGACCTTATCAAGGAAGGCTTCAAAACACCAGGCTGCACCCAATAGGAGTGAAACAGAGGGAAATATGGAAAAAAACGGGAAAGATTATTTATTTTTGAGGACTTTCGTTGCGTGCGCTGCGAAAACGATTCAACAAACAAAAAAACTATGTGTGAAAGAATGATTCTTTTAAATGATCTAGAAATTGTCCACGACAGTATATTTATCTTTTAAGATTGACTTGCAAGAACGACGAGACGCGGACGACATTGTGAGGAAAATCTAGAATTTTTAAAGCTGAGAACGTTGTTTGAAAAAAATTATTTTGATACCCAAAATAATTATTCCAAACGGACGATGTCTCAATCACGGATAGTAGATAAAAGGAAAAATAATTGTCTAACAATTGAAAATAGTTTACAGTAAATTACAACTGGCAATAAGTAGGACAATTGTATCGCACATAGTCCACGATTCAATGTCCGTAACCATTCCTCACGTTAAGTATCGCCGATTATCTGTACCGGATTAACGGATAGGTTATATATGGTCCGGAAACTAAGTCGGATACAGTACGACCCATACAATTTAAATTAAATTTCATTTATTTTAAAAGTCTGTAATTGGGTGTACATCGTAGTTGACATATCTATGTTGTTTTTTCAGTAGACTTGTAGAGACTATAATTTTACAAAAACGCAAATATTAAAGTGATTTTTTTATTGAATTTTTTGAGTCCGAATATCCAAAGCCAATATAGGTCGACAGCACATCTTGTTTGAACTCAATGCTTGCCTGTTCTTCTCTTCATATTTTTTAAAAATTGTAATTCTAATTACTGTAATTTCTGTATAAACCTAACTTGTTACAAGATCATCAAAGATAAAAGCTTCGCAGAACCGTAGAACGCTTCAAGTTATTTAAATTAAATCCCGACAGTAAAAGTTGTCGAGACGAATTAGGACCGCTTGGCAGTTAGTCCATTGCTTTAACCACACTTAACAGTCCAGCCCTCACAGCTTTGGATTTATTGCAATCCCGAAGGAACATTGTACTTATTTAAGGGACCCTTTAATTTTCATCGTTTAAGGCTTTTTGAAAATAAAACCAGACTTATCAAATCGCTTTTATTTTTCGCGTATCTGGAAATTTAAACTATACTAAACATCGAATAAGGTTTAAATTTTGTTAGACCGCAAAAGATACTACACTTGTTAAAGAAGAAAGCTTAACGGTTTAAAACGGGAATTTCATTAGGGAAAGCCTATTTACAGCTTAACTAACAACAAAAGCTGAGTGGTGTCCCTCCACAGACATCTATTGTTATTATTTATTGTCATTGTATTATTGTGTTTTGTTTAATGTGCGTGTGTGTGTATATTAAATAATTTGATTTGATTTGATTTTTACTTACTTAATATTTCCGTATTAGTAGCCTTTTCTTAATATGTTATAATAACTTGATAGTTATTACTTATGTATATACTTAACGGAATGCTGGGGAAAACCCAGCATTCCGTTAAGCGCGAGAGGTCCTGGGTTCAAAACAATAGTTTGTTTCGGTGAAGCGAGGCACAGAAATTTGATCAACCTGTACAGTTTTCGCTCACGGGGGGAAACGGAATTTCACTAGATATAATATAATAGTTATCTTTACACTCTTTAAGATCACACCGCTCTCCCCGAAATGGAAATATGCCATTGAAAGACGCATTGAAGACGCAAGGCAATTAACAATAGCAGCTGTTGGCCAGGGCGCCAAACTGAAACCAGGCCAATTTTGGAATTTGTCTGGAACATTCCTATTTGCTGTGTATGTCATGACGGCGCTTGGTAAATATTATATACTTCTGTCTAGTATGCCTGTCTTTGTCTTTTATGTATAGGTGGCGCTACTGTCACAAAATGTTATAGATTAAACACGAGATTAGATTGAAAAATTATACGACACAGGCAGGATTTAAACCGGCATCCACAGCGTTGCGTAATGTTGCTGAACCAATTGAGTTACTCGATATATTTTTAATTTATAATTTAATGGCATCGTATGCAATGCACATATACTTATATTTTACCATCTGAAAAATTTCTAAGTTTTGCAATATGGTTGAATGGTTTAATTTAACATTTAAACCATTATTTTAGGTTTTATTGCTTTTGTGGGATAAAATATACGCTGTTTGTTTCTACTGCTATAAAAAGCAATATTTTTATTGTCTTTATTCTATAACATTTTTGTCTAATTAAGTATAAATTCGTTTTAATAATTGTTATAATTTCTATGCTTACAAAATATTGTATTATTTATAGTACTTATGTAGGATATTATAATATATTTCTTTCACAACACGATCGCTTGGAGGGTCAAAAGGTATGTTCACTTAGATGGATTAGGGTATCGTTATGACAATATATACAGTTGCGTTAACTAACTACACTATGATTTAACTTCAGGTCAGGGCCTTTTGCAGCATCAACTTTAGTTCTCTATTAATTAATTTCATTAAATAGTCAGTAGCTATTTTGATAACATTCTACTAAGTAATGTTAAAATATGTAAACTATTCTAGTGTAACTTATTAAACTGATTTAAAGGTTTTGGCGCGCCAGTTCCCCACACGGTCTGGGGTCGAACATGTGCCTTAATTTATGCGATATTAGCTGTTCCCACACACATTTATTTAAGTAAGTGCTTGTCTAGCTAAGTTTCACGCTCAAAAACTATTCTAAAACTGCAGTAATGAAACTTCACCTTTATGGCACTAAAAAGATAATTTAAGTCTTTTAAAATTAAAAATCAAATTTGTCTGTAGTTTCCGTAAGTAGAACACATTAAAAAAACTTTTAACGGTTTAAAATGCGAAATACAGAAACCCTTTTTTTCATCTATCGCCCAACGTTACGATTGCTTTGCAGCAGCAAAGCCGTAGTCAGAAAATAATTATAATAAGTTAACTCATATGTTACGTGTTTTCAACCGTCAAAAGTGTTTAATTTAAAAAAAACATTCGTTTCTATATCTACAGTACGTTTTTCAGTGGTAAACGCTACTACGTGTATGGTGGCTAAAGTCGAGGCATATACACAATATCTTAGATCGAAATGGAAAGGAACACCCGTAAACCTTCATAAATCAGAGCATTTGAATAAGGGTAAGTCTTCTTAACGACTTTAATACTAATATATATTTAAAGATTAGATGTGGCCGTTACTTTGTCGGCATAGAATAGTAAATTTATTTTGGGCATCATATTATTTACTTATTTTTGCAAACAAACTCCCAGTTTTATAAATTATTATACCTGTATATGTAACCACGACGTCGTCCGCGTATTGTGTTGCGAGTTAATCTTAAAAGAGATATACTGTCGCGGGAGTTTTTCCATATCAGTTAAAAATAATCATTGCTTAAACATATTGTTTTAGTTTCCTGAACCCTTTTCGCAGCGCATGTAACGGAAGCCCTCAAAAGTATATAATTTTCTCCGATTTTCCCTAAAGCCTCCCTCGTTTTCCAAATTTTCCAATTCGAACCTTAGTTCCTCAGATTAGCGTGTACAAACAAAAAAAAAGCCTTATAATATAAGTGCGCCTTCACATTAATAAAAAGGAAATTCAAGGCTTATTCGTTAATAAATGAAATAGAGATAATGTGAGCACCGAAGGACAATTTTATTTTAACAAAGTGAGGACAGAAATATTACAGAGATAATTATGTACTATCAAGTGTCGTAAGCGAAACTGAGCGACTCAACATTTCGTACATTCCGCCATTACCATTACGGGGAAGGTCGAAAAGTAAACATCAGAACTACTAAACGAGATCGTCTTATCAGTATTAATGCGTACTATGAGAGCCGTTCCCTAAATATTGCGGTGCTATTTTACACCGCGTTCATTATTGTCTACAGGGCCGCGCTCTGGTGCTATTTTTGAAGAATTTTTATATTTTCCATTTGTTAATTCTGATATTAATTGGGTAATTATAAATAAAAAGTATTTTATGCTGGGGTTTCCAGGTTTTTTAGTTTTCAATTAGCTCCGAATGTCTTAAGCCAAATATAGGCCGAAGGCACATCTTATTACTATGTTGTATGGCTGGTGTATTTCCCCTTGTATCAAGCCACGTGCTTGTCTTTCTTCCTCTATTATAAAAAATATGTCACTTTCTTAGCCCGTCCAAAAATAATAAAAAAGCCAACATCACGCGGTGTTCCCAAGCGGTCACCCATCTAAGTACTGACCGCGCCCGACGTTGCTTAACTTCGGTGATCGGACGAGAACCGGTGTATTCAACGTGGTATGGACGTTGGCGACAGCTGTTTTTAAATTCAACTATGTATTAAAATTTCAGGAGTTATCAACTTTATCTTCTTATCTAACGCCAAAGTATCTTGTTCAGGACCATTTTATCATACGTGGTGCCTAAGACAAACGATACTACAAGGCGTTTTAAATATGTAGCACAAAATACACTAAGAGAACATTTCGTTATAGTCAAAATATGTACTTATATTACTAGATGTAACCACGATATATAATTATTACTATTACTAGAATCCTTAAATACTCAAATCCGTCACTGGTGGGCAACATTTTTATGCAGAAGGGTCGACACTCAGCGGCGGGTTGTCTTATTTCCCTCCGCCGCATAATGAGTTCTGTCGTTGTTATGCTTATTGGAAACGGAAAATGTTAAATGTAGACCATTTACCTTTTTCTTTATTACTGTTAAAAAAATTAAAACGTTAAAAAATGGTAGCCCTACTCCCTTATAATTGTAACGAAGTAATGCACAAAAACTTAAGTACTCTGTTATGAACAAACATGCCAAAAATTGTTCTAAACTACTCGAGAGATACATGACACGACAATTAGACAATACAAAATGGGCTTGTTCTGTTTCATGAATAGATATGAACAGACGGCACAACATGATTTTTTTATAAATTAACACACGGTAAATTCCATAATAGATTTTATTATAAAGTAAGTGACATTATTAATAAAACGAAGTAATAATCCTTCGCGGCCAATTTTGCTATGATCACCCGTAGCATCTTTAAGGAAACTTTGGTTCTACTTTTTACTTAATTTACTATAGATCACCAGTTAACCAGTACGCCTTGGTCTCTACTATGTCTACATTAGTTCTTTTTTATGTTCCAGAAAGTCCTAACTGCAGTAGACATTCCGAAGCATCTAAGCCAGAGAACAGAAAGATTCGTAAGCTTGTAACTGTGAGTGACGCTTTATCTATGTACCTACAAACTGTCCAACAAACATTTTATTTTTTGCAAAGTTGATACAACTCGTAGATATTAAAAAAATATTATAAGAAAAATAAAACGTTAATTAGTTTACTTATGTTATAGAAATCGAATGTTTTGTAACGAGTTTTTGTTGTATTTTAAGACACAGTTTGCGTCGTCTTAATGGTAATATTTAACCATATTTAACGTACCGTAATGAAATAGAGTCCTGGGTTCGAATTGCGGCAAAAGTAATAAATATGTCATCTTATGGGCAGTAAAACACACACAGAAATGTGTCTGTCCAATGACGTGTGAGCCACATAGGAAAACGGAATTTCTTAATCTTTAAACCCGTTGATTACTTTTTTTGTACTGCCCCTACGCGAATAGGAATACTGCACATTTAAATAATACACTCAACAATATAAAATTGACAATATTTCACGTTTCAAACAGTTAAAATAGTCTTAGTTAAATGGTGTTTATTTTCCAGACCTGTCTTGGAAGATTTTACGTTGGTCACGGTGTACCCTTGATTATACTCCTGTATTATTTAATTGGAGCGGTCGCTTTTGGTATTGCAAGGGATAAAGATGCGATGGAATCTTTATTGTTTCCCCTGCAGTTTACGACTACTGGCGGATTGGAGCAGGTAATACATCTGTGTTAAGTCCCTTTAGTTTTGCGGGCGTATAATATAAGAAAAACATTTTCTATTACATTGCGGGAGAAGTGCATGAATCAATAGGATGAAAACATTCAATGATGACGAGTAGGTCACTGGTTGAAGTCCTGCACATGTCGTAATTATTTTTTTAACAGTTTAAAACACTAACTTCATCATCATCGAATATAAAAACAAAACAAACGCGAAGTTAAAAACTTGATAATGTTCGTGGTTTAAACTGTTACAAACTTTAATTTTACGCGTGCCACCTGCAGATATGACTTGTGTCTATAAAAATATTCGTAATAAAATGTGACACAATAATACTCTATCTCTAAAACTTGAAATATATCGCACATTTCCATCTCACAAACGTAGACGAAATTGCGACAAAACGAGCCCATTACAACCTCTTCAACTTTACGATGACCGTGGGATTATTAAGAAAATATAAACTTGTTAACGCCGACATAAAATTTACTTTTTACTTGCCAAATTATGTATAAAAAACCTTCTTAAGGGATAATTATTGTTTATTACGACATTATTATAATACATATTAGTACATTCTATAGTAAAAATATGATAATTCAAACACCGAAAATGTGGCACCTAAATCCTAAATATAAAACCTAAAATTAGTTATTTAGATCGTACATTATTTTTCAGATAGAAGGCTACGTTCGTTTTTTATATGGCCTCTACATAGAGGGCGCTATGTGTCTCTTGGCATATACTCTTGCCACTATTCGACACTATGGGAGCAGAAATATCGCAGAAATAGCAAACAACTACCGTCTACTTGTAACTGATAAATGTGACCTATGTGATAACGCTACTGTACATAACTAAAAGTTACGATATGTAATAAAAAATCTGGTTTCGATTTATATAAGTTTGCATTATTAAGTCTTTTGAAAACATTAATATTTTTCACATGTTATTGCACATGAAGGCACTATATAATTTAAAAATCGAAAATAAATTGAAAAAATTTTCGACTCGGGCAGCTTTCCTGGCAGGAAAGCTGACGATGCCGGTTCAAGTCCTGCCCGAGTCGAAAATTTTTTCAATTTATTTTCGATTTTTAAATTATTATTAAGTCTTGTTTTATAAATATTAAATACGTTAGAAAATGTGGTTTATTTATAACATTGTGCTAGATGCGCTTGCGCATGACGATTGTGAGTGCGAGTCTTCTGTCGAAAGAATCGAAGAGAAGAGTCTTCTGTTCGAAGAAAATGAAACTGCCAGCAATGTTTTCAATTAATTTATTATTCGCTTCCTACAAACTAGTCAACTGCTATGTACAGCGTTCATTGGTATCCGATATATAATTAAAACAATATCATCTATAGACAAATTGGAACTACGTAGCATTCTTGAACAGAATAAGGTTTTAACATAAAGTTTTTGTTAAAAAATTAACTATTATCACAGAATTAAAGAAGAAAATGGAGTGATGAAATAATGGTGTTATTTAGATACTAGTGGAATTTTATTGCTGAGTTTGAAGCCACTTTAATTTCAGCAAATCTTGGAAACAAACCCAATTCAAGAACAAAAAGAAAAACAACAGAAAGCGAGATGTCAACCCACCTAAATCATAGCAACAATATTATTTTAAACAGCAGATTCGAATCAAATAGTGGATTTGCAAGTTTTAGTACTCATTGTACGTCATATATTAGATATATCTGTTCCCGATTTAAGCAGCCTTTAAGTAAAACCTTTCCCAAAGATCTACTTCCCTAAAGAAACCCTAAAGAATTTGAAATTAAGATCTCTTATAATATTAACAAACCTCTGCATAATACTTGTTCAAGAATGAAAATTCATTGATCTTGGAAAAGTTTGTTTCCAAGAGCCTAGCACAATATAGAGTACTATTTGGCTATTAACTTTAATAGTAACCATATTGATAGTTGAGTACATTTAATTTGAAAACAGGTGCCTTATCCCTTGCTCCTTTTAGATTCTTTTTCTTCTTGGTCTTCAGGTGCGCCTTCTATGCTTTTCTTGTCCTTGAGAGCCTCCTTCACTGCGTCCACTAAGTTATGAGGCTCGGATATTGAAATTTTCTTACCTGTGGATATATGGAAATCAAATTTTATTAATTTTTTTTTTCACATGTTAGAGGAGGACAAACAAGCATGGGATTCACTTCATAAAAGGAGAAATACCTTAGCCATCTCAACAAGGTATGCTGTGAAATTATTTGGGCTTTGGATATTAGGAAATCCACAGCCAGAAAATTTATGGTGATGTGTGACCCGGGCGGACTTTCGATATTCCTCCCACCAGACGAAGTCCAACAGAAAAATTAAATATTGATTAGAATCATGTTGGACCCAGCGGAGTTCGAACCCATGCATTGTTACCATTAAACCCACGAGCCCGTCGAATTGTTTCGGAGGACGTCAAAAATGTGATCATTAGTAAACTGAAACAATCGCTTGTCACGGGTACTTTTCAAATTTTAGGATAAGAAAATTGCCGCTTCACCGCCAATTCTCCTCACGTAAGTGGGTCTTCATTCGAAATGATAATATACACATCCAGACTTAAAGGTTATTGCAATTTGAAAGATATATACGGTAACCGACTAATTACAGCAACCTACCCAACATAGGCGTTCAAAATTAATTGAACATTGGTATTATACACAAGGGAAGTGCTTTCAAACTACACTCTGATAAATTCTTAGTCGATTATAAATGAACACAAATAGTACAGAACTAATTTAACAGCTTGGTTTTATTAATGATGTTATTATACATTCTGCACTAATTCACTTAGAATACACTACCATCATGCCATCTCAACACGGAATGTTTAAGGGTTTATAAAGTAACTATCTACTCGTATAAACGCAAAATCAATTAAGTTTGTGAACTTACAAGACACTTCTAAGAGACAAGACGCTATGCCTCCTTACCTATGAGAAGAAATTTGTAAATTAATGGCTACTTTGTCTTTAGATCTATGCTATCTGACATGGCAATCTTTTTTTTGTATAATTGTGAAGTATTTCAACGCAATTTCACTACACAAAAACGATTGTTGTGTTAATCTGTAAAGATAGACATATACTGTCCCAGACACTTTTCTACATTGTTTAATAAAGTACAATACTTTCGGTATATTGACTCGTTTTTGCAGCGGACTCCACGAAAAAACCCTGAATAGTTCCCCCGTTTATTCACATTTCCTTCTATTTAAATAAATGTTCCGACCAATACAGAATTTTTCAATTCAAACCAGTAGTTTCTGAAATTAGCGCGTTCGAATAAACAAACTCCTTACCTAGTAAAGATTTAACGAGAATGCCTAAGATTTTTTATTGTGTAGATAACGATTATTCTTTATTATGAAAAATAACGACAATTTCAAAGACAAAGTTTCGAAACCTTCCAAAATAAACGTGTCATTAAAAAAAATTATAGCATGATGGTGGGACAAGGACCATAAATAAAACAGTTTGATAAACATAAATAACATCGTATATTCAAGGAATATTTACATAAGAAATCAATTTACAACCATCACACTATAATGTTATTCTAAATCACATGTGTATTTTATAGCAACTATTTTTTATAGTATCGCGTATTTATCAAAACTACCTTATCTAATAATAAACTTATATGAAGATAAATATGACGATTGAATGTCTAAACAAAGGCTCAGGTCAGATAGATATTGCGGAGCTATCTAGTGTCTATAAATTCAAACGTAACGAAACAAATGCAATGCGCATTTATTTTCAATAAACTACAAGTGATATCCTGTTTTACTGATAAGTATCGCCCACATAACTTTTTGCATTAGAATATAGAAGTTAGACAGAAAAATCAAACTCATATATTACATTTTATTTGTAATATAAAAAAATAATTCAAAAGCGATTACCTTTTGTCACATAAATTTGATTTGGACACTATAATACATTTCGCGTTTGAAGCCGTTATAATTGTTTTATTTCAAAATGCCATAGTTATGTACGTCAACAGTGTTTGCGCTATTTATCGGTCTATGTTATAAATGCAATTTAAAATAACAGACAATGTTTTACGAACTAAGCGTCATACAATTCGGGATCCTCGTCCCGTTGTTTTTTGAGCGACCTTTGGTAGCCGTATGGTTGATCCATAGGTTTCGTTTCAAAGTAATCCTCGACTTGAATATTTTTATTAGGATCAAACAGTATCAGCAGGGACGCAAAGACGACGCTTAATAAGAAGCCCATTATGAAAGACTGCCGGTTCCTATCTAACGCCTGTAACATACTATCTAGCAACGTCCATTTTGAATCGCGTTTTGTCCCCTCAGAGTCTCTGTTGTTCGGGTGGATATTGTGCGAGTTCGCGCTCTCGTTTTTACTGCTATTTTTTGTGCGTTCTGCAAAATAAATTTCGTTTTCACAGCTGTTCGCATTTTTAGCATTAGTGTGCCATGATGATTCTAAGTGGTGGAGTAAACGTAACGCGTAACCATGGTAACACAATATACAGGCGCCTGCAGTATTTTACGTAAATGTAAGTAATGGAGATATTTATATGATGTACAAGTAACAGACAGGATATTTCGCTTACACAAAACTTTATCCTTTACTTATTTACAATAAACAAAAAACGACTTGAAGCTTTCGATCTGTTACTAAATACTGACAATAACGCCTTACGATTACAATTTGACGCATTTTGAGAGTATTGCACCACCGGCGGTTCCAGATCGGATCGATTTTATTTACACACTACTGTGTTATGTTCATGAAGTATACACTTAGGAATTAATAAACTACGTGTTTTTACCTATATCTATTGTTATCAAATTAAGACTTTAACTTAACCGAGACTATTTGATTCCAGTAGCGCCGATGCGCAGAATTGCATTTATGTAGTATTTATTTATTTAGTTGTCTTACCATCTCTATCAAAGGAGACGCCGTGAATCTGCCCTGGAGTATCCTCTTCGAGCTCGGCATATGCGTACATGAGCGCTTTCTGCTTCTCACTAAGCGTCTTTGGCACCTAGAAATGTTAATTGGTTTGTTATATATTTGGCATAAGACAATTTTTTCTTGTTTAGTCAAAATTTTTATTTGAAATGAATAAACAATAGATTTATCTAACATGGCATTTTCAATGATGTGTTTAAACATAAGACGGATGCAGCTCTGTATATATCTTAATCCCTCACTAAACAATGTTTAAAAAAATATATTACCTGTATTTTGACATGCACATAATGATCTCCATAACCATGCTGGCTGACTCTCTTCATGCCTTTGCGGGATAAGCGAATTGTACTATGAGATGAAGTACCTGGTACTATCTGTAGAATTGGAAAAATAATTATATACTTTTTATTATAACTAAAAATAATTTACACTTATTAGATTATTCTATAGTCAAGTTAGTCAGCATAAGGAGTACTATAAGCACTTCAGGTCTAAGGGTTGAACCCTGGGATAACAATCCTAAATTAGAAGGCAATGCATAGAAATCTGATCGCCTACTTGACTGTTAAGCAGTGAAAAAACGATTACAAAGACAGAAACTGCTTTACATTGCCTTATCAATGACTTAAAAAAAACTGCTTATACAAACCTGTAATGTATGGTCTTCATACAGCCCTTGTATCCGGACCGTCCCGCCTAACAATGCTTGGGATACAGATATCTGAAAAAAAAAAAACATCATAAAGGAATATATAGATTCAAAAACCACAAAGATGAATAAGATTTCTCCTACCGTTCGATATAAAAAATATATATCAAGTACTTTTTGAGGCTAACTTCTGACAAAAAAAAATTGCATAAATACCAATGTACGTAAAAATAGCACGATATGTTTCCTTACCGTGCATTCAGTATGAACATCAGGACCATCACGCCGGAAATAGTTTGAAGCGTCCACTTTGAATGTGACAAAAATCTCATTATTCCCGACAGACATGCGCACTGTCTGCCCATCTTCCACGCCCGCTGGTACAGGAACAGTTACCTTTTTGCGTTGAACCTATAGAGGAAATTTGAAAACATTTAGGTTTATTTTATTATTTCAATGCCTCCACTAAGAGTCGCTATTTTCACTTTTTTTTTAAATTTTGTTTTGTATATACAAAATAATACATACACTCTGCCCTTTGCCTTCACACTCAACACAAGGGAATTTTATAAGCATTCTTGTACCATGACAATGTCGACATGTAGACCTCATCACAAAAGGACCTGAAAGTTTATGAAAATAATGTATTTGTTAAATTTTTGTTTTTTTTTTTCTGGAAAATGTCCTAGTCCATATTAATTTAAAATGGATACTCATTTAAGCCTCTCGCTTGATTGAAACTGTTGACGGCACAGAGACTATTATTTACAATAATATGAAATTAAGAAAAAAACAAACCTGATTTAGTTATACCAATAAACAAAATATAATTACATGTGAGGTAAAACCCATCTACTTATTGCAAATATTACTTAATTATAGCCTAAATTTCGCAATAGATAATTATAAGATGACCTTCTGTGAATTATGAAAAATTTCAAAAGTTAATGCATACTATTAATTATTGAACAATACCTCTTGAAAATGTCTCCATTCCAGTACCATTACAATAAGTACACTTAATAGCTTTGGTGCCAAGTTCACAACGAGATCCCTGACATTTGGGACAGGTATCAACAATATTGACATTAATATCCTTATTTACTCCCCTTGCTGCTTCAGTGAAACGAAGGTTTACTATTACCTGAAAAGTTTACAAAGATTATATAAAAATACACCTATGAATAAAAGAATTTAAAAAATGGAGAAATTAGAAAAGATGCTGTACTACTACATACTGTTTCATGTACTCTGTGCTTTACAACTAGTAGCACATAACTTTTAAAATTGTTGTCGGTGTATTGTCGATATATTATACAATACACAATAAACAATATTGTTAGATAGTACAGAGAAACACTTGAAATATTTCTTGACAACATTTGATTTATTTAATTAACTCACTTCTTGTGCAGCTCCAAAGCCAAACTGGCTCTCAGCAAAATCACTAAAGGCTTCACTTTTGAAACCAGCATCACCAAATATTTTACGGAATAACTCCTCTGGATCAATGGTGGATTTATACTGCCATTGATGAGTGAACCCTTCACTGCCAGATGCTCCCATTCCACCCATTTGGTCTGATGTTGTACCATAAGTATCATATTGCTTACGTTTTGTTTCATCAGACAGAATCTGCAAATTATACAAAAATTAAAAGAAACATACAATTGGCCATAGCTAATTCTAAAACTTACTTCTTCATTGCAAATACAAAGAACTTACTAAACATTAACACAACTGTGTAATAATTATATTAAAGCACTAAACTTTTTATATTTATGTAATTTAAAACACACCTCGTAAGCTTCTGATACTTCTTGGAACTTTTTAGAAGCTTCTGGATCTGATTTATTTGCATCCGGATGGTATTTCTTAGCCAATTGATAATATGCCTTCTTTATATCCTTGACAGATGCATTCTTAGCGACGCCGAGAACTTTGTAGTAGTCAGCCCGAGCATTCAAACAATTTGTTGTATGAATGAACCGATGTTTCGCAATTTCGTTATCTGATAAAATTAGAGGTTATGTATTAAGAAAATACAGTAAATTGTACGTTGTTAACCAGAAGAGGATAAAATGTATTCGTTTGTGTATACAACAAATACTAACATCATTTAAGTAAATAAAGATATTAGTAATATTCCCTGCCGGTGATGTAATGTCAGCATGTAAAACTTACATTTAAAATTTTTCTGACCAAAGGCCACTACAGGACCCCTAGTGAAGTGACTACAATTATTGCATTTATGTAGTAGGCGACAAGAAGTTTTAGAAAATTTACTATTTAAAACAGAGCTAAAAGTTCTTGGATTTAGAAATCCAATGAAACTCCGAGTCGGAGCCATTTTTACTAAAGAAAATAGATGGAAAATACTGAAAATAGGATGGCGATTGACAGATTTCAAATTATAATATGAGACAGCCACAGCTACATGACATTCGCCTGTGTTTTGATTAATTGTTAGTTATACTCTGTGAATAGTGTTTGATTACATGGCTATTCTGTTTTAGTTTTGGTTGTAATGTTTGACTTTTTAAACCGTTTGGCGTTTTCTTGGCAACGGTAGGCAAGATGATTTATAAACAAAAAAACATTGTGACTCAGAAATGCATATTATTTTAACAATATAATGAATAAAACAAGTGTGTAGCATCGTTGACTTATTGTGAAAGTGAATATAAAATTTAATTATGGCTTCAACGAATGTGCGAGATCAGCTCGAGCAGCAAGTATAAACTAAATTAATCTTAGTTATTATTTATCGCAATTAGATTAATGATTTTTAATGAGATCGATAATCACTGTTAAAGCGCCAACGCACCGAACAGAGGATGAAGCAGAAGCGTCAAAACCTTGGTTTGGTCCAGGCAAATGACTTAAGAGTTGGTTCAGCCAAACGACCTATCTCTGGAAACCGATCCCGAGAACTTCACGGTATCTAGCAATCATATTCTTAATTTAAATACCCCTGAAGTTTTGGTTTCAGTTATGCATGTTTGTTGCAATTTAATTTCTTTATGTTACGCGTTTTATTACTTTTCATAACAGGCTATGATGGTCCGATGCAATTTCTTATGTCGCCAGTTAATCCCGATCAAGTAATACCTCTTCAAACAAATAGAATATCCACTTATGATGGTAAGTGTATTATTATTATTTTTGTATATGCTTATGTAGTAATTTTTGAAGTTTCCTTTATAATTTTCAATAAAGAATTAATGTACAGAAAAGAAATCAATATCCAATAATTTATGATCCATTATTTAGAGACAAAACATTCTTGTAGTATGTCTGTCTAAACTGTTGTATTGTTTACAGCACTACAGAAAATAACCCTTGATGTTGACACTTCTTATGAGTAGTGGTTTGTTTTCTCTATCAATATAGGTGAACTACTATGTCATTGTGGTTTACAAAATGACTAATAAATCATATTACTATAATCATTCATTACAAATGTTAGGTATTGGCTGTGGAAACCTACAAGAGTGAATAATAACTAATAACAGAGTCACAAAATAATATCTCTTCTCTTATATCAAGAAATCGGTGCACAATTTTGTTAACCCCTATAATAATGAGTTATGTAAATGTTGTCATTTCAGAACTGGGCAATCAAATAGAAGTTTTAACAGTGGGTGATGACACAGGTGAAGGTAGTGGTGAGGAAGGAGAAAGTGTTCCAGTGTGTAGTGTTGGGAGAGATGCCAGTGCAGACGACTTGTGTGCGGATGCAGCTGTGGCTCCTTTACATTCTCGCCCACAACGGGATGAGTCACCGAGCCAAGTAAGTATATAATATTCCACATTGTTGGGTTTAGCTTTTGAAATGGCTTTAATCATAATTATACTTGTCCCTGTCCTCAATAAACTTAAATACAAATTATTTATTTTTATTAAATAGAATGCAGAAATAGAAGGATCTGTTGAGGGTGCGGTTGAAACATTTGTAGTTACACCAGCAAAGCATGGTACTCTATATAAGTGCAGAATTGCAAGAGACAGAAAGGGAATGGATCGTGGACTCTATCCCACATATTTCTTGCATTTGGAAAAGGATTATGGAAAGAAGGTGTTTTTGTTAGCAGGTAAGTCTATATTTGAGCTAGTTGAATAATAGTTAAGAGGCCATAATTTCTCTGTTCTCTATCTATTTATCTCTATTGGAAAGAACAATGTGATCATACTACACTTGAAGCGAACATATTTCTAAGTCCATTGTGTGTGTAAGTATCTTATGTCAGGTAGTTACTTAAACATGATAACATTCTCGTGGGAACCAAATCCGAGATGTCTTGCAATGCAAGGCATAATATTTAGCTGAGTTCCAGAGGCAGTTCTGTACCGTAACGCATTTGTAAGTCTGGAATGCTTACTTTTATAGGGCGCAAACGTAAAAAATCGACAACATCAAACTACCTGATATCCACTGATCCCACTGAGTTGACACGACAGGCAGATAGCTATGCTGGCAAACTGAGGTCCAACCTACTAGGTACAGCATTCACTGTCTATGATAATGGCAAGGCTTGGAGAAAGAGCTCTAGGGACCCTCCAAGACATGAACTTGCTGCAGTTGTATATGTAAGTAGAGCTTGAAAATGAATGTATGTAACCAATTTCTCATTTCATACTCAAATTACTAAACTATGACTTCATGTGCAACATAAATTACTCACACTACTTAAGGATACAATAGTAAAGCACTATATAATCTTACAAACGTATTAGATGTATCAAATCTTTTCAGGACACAAATGTCTTAGGCTTCAAAGGACCACGTAAAATGACGGTAATTCTTCCCGGAATGACGCCAGATAGGCAACGCGTCACAATTGCCCCGCAAGACGATTCGGAAACTCTTCTAGAGAGAGCCAGAAGCAAGAACTTGGATGATATAGTTGTCTTACACAATAAAACACCAGTTTGGAACGATGAGACACAGTCATATGTTCTCAACTTTCATGGTCGAGTCACACAAGCAAGTGTTAAGAACTTTCAAATCGTTCACGACTCAGAACCTGATTATGTTGTAATGCAATTTGGGAGAATATCTGAAGATGTCTTTACCATGGACTTCAGGTATCCACTGTGTGCATTACAAGCATTTGGCATAGCTCTGAGCTCATTTGATAGTAAGCTGGCTTGTGAGTGAATAAAACTCTCCAAAGAGTATCCTTCAAGGGTATAAATAATTTTCAGTAATATTGTCTTTGAAAAAATGTTTTGGGACATTTTAAAATTTCATAATTGAATTCTCTTTCATACTTGCACAAGTTTTAAGATCCAAATCATATTTAACACAGTCTTCAAGATACAATTTGCTATTATTATATTAATAGTCTCACAACTTAAGCTATTTTAAAATGTCCCACTTCAAGTATTAACTAGGAATTGAGAATTTTAATTTGACAGCATAAACAGCACACATGTAATCATTTAGTTAAAGAATGTTTCTTTATTGAAAATTATATATGACATTATTACAAGCTGTGTATTATATTGTTTACAATTTTACAATTATTGTACATTATACATTCCATCGTGGCTATGTTAGTTTTGTCTAGTTTAATTTAAATTATTTTGATGACATGTAAAATAAGTAATAATGAATTTAATATTACCTAATCATGGTTTTATAATCGAATTAACGCACACTAATTAGTTAATGGTGCTTTAAACTTTCGCTTTTTAATAAAACAAATCTTTTACAATACAGAGCATTGGGTATTTTTATAGATTTAGTTGCTAAATATTTTATTGACTTTGTAAAGAAAATCAAGTGAATTGGTAAATTGAGTATTAATAATTATTAAATTATTGTAAGTGTTTATTCAGAAATATTTTAATGTCTATTACAATAACAATCTCAACTTGTACCCAATAATTCTAAAAATAGGATACAGTTTTGTGACCAATTTTGATTGAATATCATATATCTGATAGTATTTCCAATGGTGTTATAATAAATAGGCAGTAAGTTCATATCGCAGCTATACTTACGTATATAGTATGAACTTAAAGATAATTTTAAATTTTTGTTCGGCCACTGTCGATCAGTGGTTCCTAGATGTGATTAATTTTGCATTTATATTGTATGTACAATTAATTTGAGCTAGTCAAACATGTTTAGGCTATTTTACATTTAAGATTACTTTTAGCGCACAAAACCAAGCCACCAATTAGACCTTCATAGGTCTGGATTTTGTCAGTATTTGTTACTTGTTAGATACTTAGATATTTTTAATTTTGAACAGTAAGAATTAATCGCATTTATCAATTTATTTTTTGTGAATTTGCTGGTAAATGAAACTCTGAATACTTTGCCAATACAGTATTATTTTTTATCTTTGGCTCATTAAAATAATTCATTATGACAATACCTCCAAGTTTTAGTAAATTCCACTGCCTATGTTAGTGTACTTAGACAAACAAATAATGTAGGCGCAGAATATATTAAAATTAGCACCCAAAAATATTATATTATTTAGTTTTTCAAATTGTAGTGTGTTGTAGAAATTTTTGCTTTTGTACCTGTATATTCAATTGAAACTAGAATGTAACATTGGGGTAATTTATTAAAAAGGAATTTAAATAAATTGTATATTAAATAAATAGCATAATATGTAAAGCATAAAACGAGCTTCTAGGTGTGTAATGAAAATTATGATTACTCTATTTATGTCCACACAGTTGATCACAACTTATATTTTGCTACTGGTATACTTATATAGTATGTTTTATGCAATCTAGCTTTTTCCATGGCAATAGTAAATGGTTTGTTTTAAAAAAACTAATTTTAACTCATGTATTTGTATTTTCTAAAAAACCTGTTATATCAGTCAGTAATTGTCTTGTATATTCCTTTCGACGTCTTAAGGAATATTGATGTTTTATTATATATTAAGTAATAAAGTTAATGTCATGTTGTATAATATTAACCATGAAGTATTTGTGTATTGTGCCTTCAAATAGGATAAAATAATATGTGTGCCTTTTATTTTCATGTCTATGGTGTATTTTGTACCTTAAAGCTTTTCACCAATTACAATTGAAGGTAACTTTAAGTGAAGTATATGTGAAATAACACTTTCATTTAAATTACCTATACATCATGTTCATCTTGGTATTTAGTTAGTGTGCATTCAGTGTGAAGTTATGTTTCCAAAATTCTATAATTATTCTATAATAATTTATAGTTAATTTATTCCAGATGAAAAAATATTGTTCTAATGATCTAAATGTAATAATTCAAACAATAAGAACACTAATTCATCTAAAACTTTATGTAAGTTGTCGTGTAGAAGGACATCTCTCTTGCCATTTTTATTTGTACAATTACCATAGTCTACACTTGTAATTTTAAGCTTTAAAGTTTTAAGTGAAAACTTACACCCTACAATGTATTTCTTACAAAAAATATAATTTTCAGTAATTGAAACCATTGTTTTATATATGGATAAATTAAATTAAAATATGAAATTAATCATGACAAAGACTCAAATTTCTGTATTAGATTAGATTATTACATATTTAATAATTGCACTTTATTAAAAATCTGTTAACAAATCATGTTTGGTTTTAAATAAATGAGTTATTGAAACTAACTCTTTCTCTTGCTTAACCATTTTAGTAAGAAAAATAATAATTACCTACTGTGCATCAGTGTACAGACTTTGTTAAATGAAATAACCTATACTTTAAGATGTTTTTAATAACTTATATTACAATATTTATTCTGTCTTTGCAGCAGTGGCTTTCGGTTTCTTCGCTTTAATGGGCCGTTGGGAACGAAGAATTGCTGAGGCACGTCGTAAAGTGGCTTTGATTAGGTCCTTACGGTAGTTGTTGCATTTCAATAGCCTTTTAGCTTTGTGCAGTGATCTTCTGGCACCAGCCTTGAAACTACGCTTAATGAGGTTCTTGGCGGGCTTGTTTGTTGCCTTTGCCTTCTTGTACACGACTGTGAAGCCTTTCCTGCTGGGGTTTTCATTCTCAACCACGCCGACGGTCTTCTTGTGAATCAAACCGTTGTACCTGAAGGCGTTTAGGTTAGTTACATTGTTTGGTTCCTTGCTGAACGGCTTTTTTATATTGCGTTTTTTCACCAGGAACGCATTGTTGTTACGAATGATCATCCAATTAAGATGCGCCGACATTTTTAATAAAACGCACGCAAATTTCCTTCACAAAACAACGTGCTCGAGACGTGTCCGTAGACAAAAAGGATTTGTAGATTTGACAATTGACACTCGAGTCGAGTACTAGTTTTTTTATTTGTATAGAGGAGCGTGATACAAGCATATTGGCAAGACTTGTTACTTTTAAAAACCTTTTTTGTGGTATGAGTATTATACCCCTTTATTGTATATATTTATATCAAATAACGTGTCAATATCATGAAAACAAATACGCATAACTAAAATGGTAAAAATAAATTAAAAGCTAATATTAATAAAGCCCCAATTTTAGATTGGGACAAATTACACATTTTTGGTATTCAATGAATTTGTATTAGTAATTTTTTGTCATATCTTTAGTAATATATTTTTGCGTTACTTATGATTAACTAGGGTTCACAACATCATTGGGTAACACATACTAAATAAAGAATGACCATAGAGAACACTACCGCTTTCGATTATCTCTTAAACTATTGTTAAACTCTCGAATGATGCTTGTAGGCTCTGGCAGATATTATTTTGACAGCATCAAACACTGTGTCAAATTCCAAACAGATTTGTCTAGGACATTTTCGTGTTGATTCTAATAAAACGTAATTTTATATATATTTTGTTCAGTATTTTTTATATAAACGTGATTATTTAGTAAATTATTTATGTGATTGGAAGTTAAAGTGCCAAATTGATGTTTTCTAATTTTTCGTATTATGAGTCGGATTGATCAAAATATAAACAAAGATATGATTGATTCTGATCTAATTGACGTGGAGTCGTTAGATTTTTCGGATGATCAAACTTGGTATGTTACTTAAAATGCATTCGTAATTAAATTTTACTATAAACAATCAAATTACGATGAGAAGCGTTCCATTGGGTTGTTGTCAACAGGCTACACCTGTTAATACACGAACGATATTTTTTCAAGTTTACATAAAACCATGTAAACCCACTTTAAAAAACTGTTTTATCCGTCAAAAACACCTGCTAATAAGATTCTTAAGTTCTATTTGCTGTAACTTTAACAACTGATATTTACAAGTAGTATGATTTAAAGTAACAATCTAAAAAAAAAAAAAAAAAGGAATTTTAAAAGACATTAATTAGTACTATTCACAATATAGTGCTAAATCTTTATATCTCGTGACTCATGTCCTTAACAATAAGACCTCCCAATCTTAAGTGAAAAAAAAATACTTCCCATGTTTGTAGCTTATATTTTTTTATTTTAGGTTGTATACTATACCTGAAGACTCGGGACAGAAAGTAGATGTCTTAGAATATAAATTAAATTTTGACTGGCCCATAAATGAAGATGATGATTATGTTAAGGCAGAGAAAGACTTGTATGCAGCATTGGATAGTGTGCTTAAGAGTAAGTAGTACTTTTTTATAGAAATACCCACCCACTAATAACATGGACTGTGTCTGTTTACTAAGAGTACTTCTTTACAGAGGCTATCGTTTACTAGAGAATTATATTGAAAAATAATATTACAAATCTTATTATTGACTTTACACAATATTTTGTATACAAATATGTTGCATGAAACATAAAACAAGACTTAGATATGATTCTATAAGTTATTATAATTTTTATATTTTACATAGTAATATTGTGACTCCATTCTGAAAACCATAGAGCTCTTGTAATTTGAGTATTCATTCTACAAGTATGACAAAAGATACTTGATCCCAGACAGTCACTAGAGTCATATTACTGCTTAACATAAGCGTATTATTTGGTGTAAATTGTTTTTAATGCTTTCAATCTTATTATTATTAAAAAGATCTGTATTATACTTTGTTATAATGTGGGAAAGTATATGTTTAACCACATGTGCTGTAACTGTCTTTTGTGTAACTTTACAGTAATAAAAAACATAATAAGAATTTATATTAAAGACTAATTCAGCTATATGGAAAAACAATTATAGACCAAGTAATAGCACAAATTCAATTTGGAAAATTAATTTTCATGTGATATGTTCATCAAGGAGAATTATTTTACTGATTATCACAAAGTTTAACTTTAAAAGTCTAAAGCAGTCTTAATAAATCAAATTTATTTATGCATAGATGGTATTTAGTATGGGTATTTTGTATTTTATAATACTTCTAATCACTGTAGTGACATTGGCTATGGTCCATTAACTTATAACAAAGGATATATTTAACAATAAACATGTTATATACTCTCATATATGACTAAACTCACATAACATTAAATCAGTTTCATGTTTATGTGTTTTCATTACATCTATTTCTCTATCTTAATAAATATGTATATAAAAATTTGCACTTACTTCTATAAGATAATCTTAACCACGATAATCAGTGGAACATGAAATTAATCTTATCTTCGCCTATGTATTATTTTAAGCATCTGTCCTTAATTCATTTAAATATATATTAAATTATTGACCATCCGTTACTCAATTCATAAGATTAAAGAGTTGCCTAGCCTTGCCTTAATGAGAGAAACTGATCAGCGAACAGACATTAAATTGTGCTTATTCCATGCTTGCCCCCAATAATATGTAAATTTCCTCTACCTTACAATGATAAGTGTAAGTAAATACAACCTCTGCAAGAAGGAAATGGTGAGCTTATCATCTGGCCTTTTATAGATGTCCATAATAGAAAATAATAATATATGTAACAATGATTTAGACGTCTTCTCTTAAATGATTTTTATATAGGCTCATTGTTGTACATATGAACCGGGAAAACAAGAGCTTCAATGCCAGTGCAATCTTTCAATTGAAATGATGATTGTTTAAAGGTGTAGTTATATCAGTACCCTAATTACAAACTGCCATTAAGGCAGATGTAATTCTAGAAAGAAACTAACAGTTTAAGATCTTTAAAAACGTAGCTTTCAAATGAGTCATGTTGATAGGACTGAGTCAAACGGTTTTTCTGTGCTTAATAAACTTTCGTATCGATAGATTAATATGTATAAAAAATACACCTACTTCATAAAAGTAGTAATAAATTACAATAATTTGGAAGTATGTTTAAATGAGATTAAAATAATCTTTCATTAAAATAAAACACATTTTAATGGATCGAATATTATTAGTTACATATAGTATAACCTATTTTTTACTACTTACAATCCCACGTTTCGGATGCTTTACGGCAGTCGTGGTCACTGAAGGACTCGGGTTGTGGTAAAAAATAAAATATTATGTATTTAAATAGTCTATAGTTTAAGCACAATTAAATAAAACACGTAACGTTTTAAAACTGCGAAATATATTCCTTAAACTTATGCGAAAATTATTATCCCCCCCGTGACCCCGGCTGCTGCAAAGCATCCGAAACGTCGGGCTGTAGTTAAAATAATTTTCATATATGTTCAACTAATATATTCCGCGTTTTAAACCGTTACTGTTTTATTAACACTATGTGTTTATATCTTTGGATTGTAATTATCTGTCAATAATGAATGTAGGTAGATATATAGTTATTCATCTCATTACCTCACTAGTATGTTAGAATTATTACTGATTATGAATGCATTATAAATTAATTCACTGATAATAATTAGCCATTGAAATCTCCATCACGCACATGCGTATCATCATTACTGCCTACTTTTAATAACTACCTGCATTTTGTTTCCCGAACATAATAGTTCAATCATAAACGCAGTTTTCATCATTAATACATTACTCGTTACTCGAAGGTAAAAAGATGTAGGAAGCTCTCGCGAACTGGTTATACAAGTATTTTCTCAAGAATATAATTCCTCTATGAATTAGTCTCGTTATTAACCGGAATCGCTATTGTTCCTTATGTGATTGACTAGGAAGAGGGTTTTTATTGCCTAATATATATTAATATATAAAGCTGAAGAGCTTGTTTGTTTGTTTGAACGCGCTAATCTCGGAAACTACGGTTTCGAATTAAAAATTATTTTTGTGTGAGTTAGAGCACTTATTACAGCGAAGAAACAGCGGGAAATGTGGAAAAACAGGGAGTTTTCGATGCTTACGCTGCAATGTTTAAATAAATGATTCCCCTATAAAATATCTAAAATAATTTTCAAGAATGACAGGACGAGACCAACGCGACGTCGCGGGTAACAGCTTAAATTTATAAAGAAGTTTGCAAACACAAATTTGGATGTCCCAAAAAACTATTTTACGCGGACGAAGTCGCTGACACGGCTAGTAGCATATAAATGTTATGGAGTACTGTGTAGTGATATGAGAACGATAAAAGTGGACCTAAATCTTTTGATGTGTTACGCCGTAGAAATGGTTTATATATGATGATATTTTTCTATACGTCCATTAATATACAATCACATTATATCAATATCATGTTATTTAAACGTAATAGAAAGTTATTAAATAAAAACCTATTCCACATTTTCACAAGCTAAATAAATTATTTAATTAAAACACTTTAACGGTTTAAAACGCGATATATGATATTTGCATAGATTGTACCATTTCATCTCTTTGCAGCAACCGTGGTCACGAGGTGACAGCATCCGAAACGTCAGACCGTAGTTAAAATAATTTTCAAAATAAATTTAACTAATATATATCGCGTTTTTAACCGTCATTGTTTTATTTGAATGTGTATTACTCGCGTAAACTACGGACAGTATTTAAATGAATGATTTTAATTAAACCGGGTACCGTAACTGTGTGTATTACGAACTCATACAATTGTTCAAATATGCGAACGTGGGAATCGGACAAGTGAAAACGCTTGCACTTAACACCTACTGTTATATTTTTTATTCACGTAGAAATTTTGACGCGATCGTTGGAATGATAGCAATGTATGGCTAATATCAAACGGCTGGGTTCGATGCCCACAGGGCCCAACATGTTTTTAAACAATTTATATTAATTGAGATATTGAATATTGAAATTCCGTCCGGGTCACGTACCAATGTGCACAGATAAAAAGCCGTGAACGTCTCGGTTCCAGTCTGTGGATCTCTTAATATCTAAAGCTGAAATAGGTCGACAGCGTATTTTGTGAAGATCTTATATGGCAGGGGGTAACCCTATGCTTGTCTGACTTCCTCTATCATAAAAAAAAAAATTAAAATATAGACTAATTCGATTCGACGACTTACGATTCGTAAAAATAAGTTAAGTAATATATTTCACGTTTGCAACCGTTAATTGTGTTTTTTTTTTATGTGTACTACTCGCGTAAACCACAGACAGTACTTAGATACCTAATTGTCAGATTGTCACTTTTATATGATTCATTTTTAAGAGCGACAGGAAATATTTTCAAGTGAAAATCAAGTTGACACCGATTTGTATTAAGTTTTGCAATCCTGTCGTTAAAAGCTTTATCGTTGACAGGCGCAAATGGGGAAGCAGAGTTTCACAGACAATTAAAGTTGTTATGTTGCATAAAAGTTGATAATGTATTGGGGATTCAAACATCCAAGAGATTTAAAATTTTGATGAACATAGACGGCTTCCCAGTAGCAATTGGTAGAGCGAAGGCACGATGCCCAGTTATTGGTTTGTTTTCCGTCTCCGTCACCGATTTTGCTATGTAGAATATTTTAAATTCCGTTACCACACTTAGACGTTATAAATGAGGCTGCTAGAGAGAGAATAGCAGCAGCTCAAATATAGAGTGGAAGGAAATAAAACACGGTTTAATTTTGCTAAAGCGAATATAAATGATGTCACCTGAAACAAGTATGTCTGCCCACGCTTCGATTGGCATACGAAATTAGTTTCACTTTCTATAATACGCATTGGTTTAAGAAGGTTTATGGTCACGAACGGATAGCGCGACTGTCCTATCCTTATGGAGTTACCAAAATTTCTTAATTCGTAGTCTCAACTACCGGTATACAAAAAAGTTTGGGTCTAAAGGAGTGATATTTTAGCCTTAAGCAAGTGATAGGGCTTTGCGGTTTGTAACTGAAGTCGCTATGTCTATGGAGAAAAGGAAGTATACTTATTTGTTAAATTTTCTCTACTTATAGAATTTTGGCTATAAATACTTAAATAGTTTTAAACGGACATATATACGGTTTCTATTTTCTTTCTTTATTCGGTATAATCCGCTTAAAAACTTTAATATTTTTCACATGATGCATTGTATAAATTAAAAAAAGATTTGAACCTCCAACTTGAACTTGCTGGATGCCGGTTCAAGTTCTGGCCGCGTCGTAATTTTTTTTTCAATCTAAAACCGATTTTTATTATATATATTTCGCGTTTTATACGTTTAATATAATAATTATTTACTGTGCAGATTATTGTATTAATAAGCACAGTACGTAGACACTACATTAACGGACGTGATGCTTGTCAAATGAAGCGCCATAAATGGAGTTCCGATTGCGATTTGTAAGTCGATGCATTTTGTCCTACATTTTATATGGAGTGCACATTACTACCTACTCGTATTAGATGGTATATAGAAAACCTAATCTTAATGACAAGATAGACTTACGTTAAAGCTCTTATTGTACAAAAAAAAATTAATTAGTATTATTTTCCTTAAATAGACGTAATTTGGAGTGGCCAATTATAAGTGTCTTGAAAAATGTGGGAATCGAATCCACGACTCGTTGTTTATTACTCATATTATAGCCGACAAAAGTTGTTTTGCCATATAAATAATGTATAACTAATTAAATGACGATTGATAAATTTTCGACCGGAGAGGAAAAATTATAAAATTACTAAAATGGCTATTAAAAAATAAGGGTTGATCGTAGAAGGGGAAAATTGAGGATTGTATTTATGTATTTTTTATGTTGTATCATAAAAAAATAGAAAATAAAAATACTGTCTAAAAATAAAAATATTATTTAAGGTGGACTACCCCTAACATTTCGGGGAAGAAAAATAGGTGTTGGGCGATTCTCATAGATACCAGATAAACACAAAAAATTTCATCAAAATCGGTCGAGCCGTTTCGGAGGAGTATGGCAACGAAAACTGTGGCACGAGTATTTAATATATTAGATTGTTATCATTACAACAGCTAACCTAACGAATAGTTGAGGCATATCGTATCATGCGTCTCTAATTAAATTAATCATCCTTAATTCTCTTTGTATCTTCGGATGTATTATGAAATAGTGTTATTTGTGTCCATCTTCGTAGCTCAATGGAGAAACGCGATTTTAGTCACTCGTTGAATAGTGGCTTAAAACTTTAAACTAAGATTTATAACGACTTACTTCTTAAGCAACATAAAATATAATATGCGTAGAAGTATCTATTAATATTTCTTTGAATCTCGTGAATAAAAATTGTATAATACAGTATTTTAGGTTAAAACGACTTATTCCTTTTTTATTCGATACAAATGTTACGCCGCGGATAATAGTAAAAGTTGAGGAAAACACAGATGACCATAATGTGGAAATCATTACATATATTTGCATGCTTGAGATAATGCGAGCAATTTGCTGCGCCCGAGTTTTCTACTCAATTAATTACTGTTTCCCATCATTTAATTATGCGCTACCCCGTACAAATTCTCACCTTATTACACCTACATCGTCATATATAAATTAATCTCAGCCTCAAGAAAACATATATCGTTATCTGTAAAAGCTTTGCCACAGTTTATAATAGCAACAGTAGGGCAACCAGCGCGGATGTAGCCAAGATGCATTCAAGTTCAAATCTGTACTTTAAACTTATGGGCATAGATTATTTAGTGTCCTAAATAATTAAATTAAAACTTATTTCTGAAACTTAAAATCCTATGACTGCTTCATACCGTCAAACCAATATGCAATTTGGGTTTAAGATTATCGCACTGGTTTGTTCTTGCTCTGTAACTCGTTTTCACTAAAATTAAAAACACATTCACTCAATCAAAAGTGACTGAATTGTAACTGTCGATTGTAAGTAAACTGTATCCACGAGATGGTTTGATGGGTACGTTCACCTTATAAGCAGTTATCTTCCGTCGCCATCACATAGCTAATTAGCTGTGTGTGTTAGATTGTCACTTGCAATAACCTTGGGTGGCGTTTGTTTAATCATCTAATAGTAATATAGGAATAATCGAAAAGTACATTAAAATATACATATCTTCTTATTAAAACACTATTGACGAATTTAAATGCGAAATGTATTAGTAAATAAAATAAGTAACTAACTATGGCTCGTCGTTTTGGACCGTCGCGACTGTGGGGCCATGGTTACGGCTGCAGTTAAGCCGTTAAAAGTGTTTTATTTAAATGTGTAGATGCTACCGTAAACGACAGACAATACGTAACACAATATCTGTTAAACATAGAGAGCACAAGAAAATATGCGCAAGATTAATAAAACGAATTTTATCACATTCAATCAAGTTTTAATTAAAAACAACCTTCGCAGTAGTAAATCTGACTTACGAAAACTGTGCAAAAACATTAAAAAATATACACTACTAAAAAAATATTCTATTAAGCAATTTCTCGTTTTGTATCAACAGATGAGGTCGTCCTGCCAGACAAACACAAATTCGACTCTCGAACCTACGTGAGACCAAAGAAACGCCCCCAGAGGCCCAGTATTCAGAGCATCGTGGAAGTACAATCGAATCCTGCATCCATGTCGCCACACCTGTCGCTCAACCAGTCCACAAACCAGTCGGCCAACAAATACCTCACGTATAACAAGTACAGCAGCCCGTTGGGTCCCATTAGCCCGATGCTCCGTCTGAAGACGTTCAACCTGGATGTTAATACCGACAACAGTAACGCAATTAAGGATTATGCTATGAAGAGACGTAGCTTAGCACCAGATGATGATCCGCAGGTATTTTGTGTTGCTAACCTTTTGTACCGCCATAACACGGGTGAACATACCTGATGCTTGTGGTCCTCGGTTTAAATCCTATTAGAACACTACATGTGCCCACGTAGAATAGTTATTGAGGGCCAAAATTTTTTTTTGCAAACCTCCTTATTATAAATTATACGTGTTAAGTGTTACTCCGGTCGTCTGCGCCGCGTTGTTCTCGAAAGTTTTATGACATTTTTTAGATCATTTAAAGAGGAATCATTCATTCACAAATATTGTTTAGAGTCTAGAACCGCACGCAACGGAGGCTCTCAACGACGAATAATTTTCCCTATATTTTTCACATTTCCCTCAGTTTCCTCGCTTCTAATGGGCGTAGCCTGATGTTTTATAGCCTGAAGCCCTCCTCGATAAATGGTCCGACGAACACAACAAAAATTACAATTCGAAACAGTAAAACCTAAGTTTTGCGCGTTCAAACGAACAAACGCTGATAATATTAGTATAGATATATGTATACGTTTCTAATCAATATCTTACCTTGTATGGGGTCTTAGGCACATATTGTCACGCTCGGCTAGGTGATCTGTGTAGGTTACCGTCACACATCAGTTACGTTGCTTTAAATAGACTATTCTTAGGGCGCGGCGATTTACATATTGAAAAAGATAGTACAGATCCTTTTTAGACGGGTTCATTGGTGTCTTAATAGCAAAGTATGGCAGATCAACGGTTCGAGAGGTTCGATCGCCGCAGGGTCCAACATGTTCATAATTAAATACTGTCTATAGTTTACGCGAGTAGTACACATTTAAATAAAACACTTTAACGGCTTAAAACGCGATATATTAGTTAAACTTATTTGGAAATTATTTTTAACTTCGGCCCGACGTTTCAGTCAGTTCAGTCTCCCCGTGACCACGGCTGCTGCAAAGCATCCGAAACGTGGGGCCGATGAATGTTCTTAATTAATTTACAATTTTTTCGAAACATCTGGATATTCAATGGGTGATAAGAATATCAAAGTTCCGTCCACAGATAAAAGCCGGTAAGTTTCTTCGCGTATTGGTTTCAGTCCGTGGATTGCCAAATATCCAAAGCCGAACTAGGTCGACAGTGATTCGAAGTTCTATGGCTAGGGTATTTCAACTATCATCAAGTGAACTCTTACGCTTGTCTGTCTTCCTTTATCATAAAAAATAAAATATCTTAAAGGAACTAACTGATACATTTAAAAAAGCTTCTGGTGAATATTCTGGCTGGAAAACATTAAAATAAATAGTATATATCGAACTTTTAGTTTATTAATATAATATCCTAATCGATATATAAGTAACTCATCAAGAAGAATAACGTCACTGTAGTGAGTGACACAAAGCGGACAATTTTATGTGTCCGTTTCAGCGATAGATTTTATTAGCATTATACGAGAGTGTATTATCTCCCTGAGGTTCGAACGTAGGGCCGTGCCTAACTCGATGTTAGACAACACGTTTGAGCCACGAACCATTGAGCTACGGTTCAAGCAGTAAGATCTCCTTTATGTATTTAACGATCATTTTATAGGAAATTAATATAAATTTACACTATGACGCAAAATGAAATAATATTTAGAATATATTATGGTCTAAAACATTTTGATGGACGAGGAAACGCCTCTTAGATTTTGCAAGTGATAACTAGTCTAAGTTCTATTAATAACATATAGGACGTTGTGGTTGTTACGAAACTCGCTTCGTTTAGTTAATTTCGTTGCGGAGTGTAATTAACGTGGGTTTACACGACGTTCTCATTTTAGGACCCTTGAATAATAGAGAACTTTGCCTCAGTTTAAGATTTATGTGTGGGCAAAGTAGTACAAGATTGACCTTAGATGTTAACCTCGAATAGGAATAACTTGACTCTGTAAATGGGTATTTTCAAATAAAAAAAAATAAACTTAAATATGATATGATATGTTAATATGAGGCTTCTAGAGACAGAGTGACCTAATAACAAAAAAACATGATTTTAATAAGAAGGAAAAAATGCATTATTAACTTAGGCGAAAATGAATTTGTACTATTATTTATGTAAGAATTATGTTAACAATTTTCGACTACTGTGCTCTTTTGTAGATTAACATTTTTAGACTGAAAATATTAACGACTCAAGTCATAAAATTGCAGTTAGGCCACTCTGCCCCTAGCAGCCTTATATATCTTAACGTTTCTCTTTTAAGAACTAGTATTGCCATATTCAGTATGTTAGTAAATACGGTGCAGCCATTTAATTTTGAGACACGAAATGTCCATACGTTGCTTAGGTGCAAATACAAAAATACCTTAATATATTAGAATAGGGACGAATTTGCAGTTGTCTAAAGTTTTAAAGAAGAATATTTTTAAAAATATATCTTTACTGCAGCTCTTATCGCGGCACACATTTGAACTGAGCGCTCTTCAAGATTTTATTTCTGTGAAAGCGAAAAAGATATTTAACATGTACTAGATTCATACTGTTATCATGCTGTTAATTGCACGCTGCAGCAATGACACGGGCGGGACACGAAGTCACGACCACAGATTTCAGTAATTACAGAACCGTGGTCCCAATAAGAAATTCTCATGGGGAATTTAATGTAACTGCCTCGTAGGTCTATTGGTTAGTGCACTCGCCTGAAATTGAGTTCACAAGGTTCCGGGTTCGAATCCTGGATCGGGCGAAATGTTATTTTTGTATTTGGAAATCTTGCCCGTCGTAGAAGTGGAAGTTGTAATCGTCCCCTGCAAGTATTCAGCCTCGCTTACCACCACAGATTGAGTGGCGATATTTAAACCCCACCAGGCCCCACGTCCACAGACTATACATTTTTATATGAGCTATAACTGTTGTATTCATAATATTGAATACAACAGTTTTGTCAAAGTATATTAGTTAATCTGCTACAACATTTAGGATACCGGTCGTTGCCAAGAGTCAATATTGTTGCGTGACGTAGTGTCGCGTAACGCGTTAAAATCGTCTCATGATGAAGCTCGTTTGTCTAGTCACTAGTGCATCTGCGTGGGAAAAGTGTTGTCTATTATTTATATATTATGCAGTCATTGAATAGTTGTCATTAGCCAAATCAGCTGAAGTGTCTAAGATGATCTTTGTATGATTACCAGCTTCTTCTAGACGTCGCCGAAACATACTTTTTGACACAATGTGTAGGCAGTGCTTGGCTTATGTCTTTTTTTTAATCGGATTTTTTTTCGAAGTTACTTAGCACATTGCAGTTTATTAGCATTATGTTAGAAAACAGAGGTAGTAAAGACTTCGTTATTTTGAACCCAACGTACGATACGTGAGAAATGATTTACATTCCAATAAATCATGAAAGTAATCGATTACAATTGCTACAGCTATCATTTGGTTACATAAATAACCGACGGACATTCTGACGTGGCTGACTTTCATTTTCAATACATTCAAAGCGTTTTGTCGGGCAGAATTTTTCGATGGATGGCTTTTTCTATTTCAAGCTGTCAGACTAAATACGGATAAAAAACGCCTTTTTGTAATCTTTGTATCGTATTTAAACTGTTATATTTCTTCCAATTTTATTTTCTCTGTACAATGTAATAATACTGTCTGGAAGAAAAAATTAAAAAACATAAATTAATTCTTGTGTTGCAGTTCAATATCTTTTATAGTAGTTTCTTTTCATTCTAAATGTTTCCGTAAGAATTAGGCCAAAGAGACGATCGTGAATACGTCTATATTTGGATTGGATAGAGTATTTTAAGCTACAGATTGTGATGGTGCTAAGGACGGTCACTTGTTGTGACTGTCCTTTTTAACGTTCAGGAAGTACCAAAGTGCAGTAGTACAATTTTATCGACCTACCTTAAGGTCTGACATTCTTATCATTTAAAGAGCCCACCCACAAGAGATACCCACGACCTCTTACGCGTTATTCTTACATGTTATTCCCTAAAAGTCCCGTCGTCCCGTCGCACGCAACGGAAATAGAAATAATTTTTCCGCACATTTCCCTCTATTATTAGAAAGTTTAAATAATCAAACAAACAAACAAACTCTTCTGCTTTATGATATTAGTAAAGATGTATGTTTTAAAATCTAAATTATTTTACTGTTATTGCTTTCAAGGAGGAATCAAAGGTAATATATTTACGTTAGCTATGAACCTTCCTACCTACTTAACATTTATTTTTACATCCCCTACGTCTTCGTTTGAATTTTGATGAACCATTATTAAAATAAAAAGATGCATAAATAACAAGACATAAAGTTAAATAACTCTTTAATTTTATGCATATTATATAATTAAATGAGTGTAAAATCATTGAATTTCAGCTAGAAGATTCGGACGTAACATCAGACGGCGACCGGTCCGACAACATGCGTTTCAAGCCTATTAGCATCGACTATTCGCAGCCAGCCCATAATATTCATAATACGTTTAACAAGTAAGTTCTATGTTCTACCAGCTAATCACTTAAAACGAAAAAACAGAAGTACTTCCGATTTCTTTAATTAAGTTTCACGCTCGTCTGATAAGTGCTATTTATATAAGTTAATCACAATAATAAGAATGAAAGTGTTCACAATTGACATAAGCTTCAATTATGAAATCTTCAATTACCCACGGCAAACAAAAGGTCAGCTCCGAGTTTGCTTTCTAAACGTGTTGAAAGTAAAAAATAAAATAAATAATTGACACGACTTTCATGCAATTAGTCGAGATGACTTAGCACTGAATAAAACACGCGAACGCTATGAAACTATTGATCGAAGACGTCATTCAATTGAGAAATAGAAGTGAAAATAAACATAGATTACACTGATAAAAAAAGTTATATTCCTATTGTGAACTTATATATGTTTCACAGTTTCCCTCTCGCATAGCAGAGGCTACTTGAATTAGACCCACCACAGCACACAGGTTTTGAGCTGTAGTGACGGCCGTTACTAAATTGTGATAACAGGGACCGACAGCATAATGTGAATCAAGGCACTGATTACACCTTCCACATAGGAAAACTTCAAATACCAAATAATACCAACCGAGGGTTCGAACCCGGAATCTGCAGTCGAGTGTAACCACTGGACCAACGGGGCAGATTCATGTTTCATTGCTGTGTATTTATAAATAATATTTGTGGGATTTATTATTATCCAATGGGCCAAGACAGTATTAACTAATTTTGAAGACTATACAGTTTTAACTTATAATTCCAGGGGTCTCAATATATTAGCGGAGAGAAATAGTCTAAATATGTACCGGAGTGGAGAATCACTAATGCGAATGTCGCCACCGAGTCTCGTTTCGTCACTCGTAATGGAGAATTCCGGCAATTTTAACACAGACTCGATGGAAGGGAAAAAAATCGTTACCTCATCACAGAGAGTTGGGTAAGAAAAGAAGCTGACAAAAGATAATTAAAAAAAATAAATAAAAATTGTTCTTAATATATAATTCTTTACAGGACCATCTATGGGTCGTGATAGCATAGACCCCATGATGACCAGCATGACGTTAAGCATCCTCGACGAAAAAGACATGAGCACCAGTTTCCTTTCACAAACAACATATCCCGATAACGACAGCCTTTTAGATTCTTTGCCACCCAGTTTAGTTAGCTCAGTGAACTCATCCTACATAGTGTCAAACACCTCGCGAAAAGATAATCCGGAGACAAATATATTTAGCTCAGCCACTTTCACGCATCTAGAACAGTCTGAGAGGTTGCTCTCCGCTCGACCGAGGTGTCAACTATACAATAGCTTTAAACGCGACTCGATTAAGAACTCCGAGAGCTACACCAAAGCTAGGGAGGAAGCCTGTCAAATTGACACCGGTAAAATTCTAAACGAGAACTGCGATAATGTGTCGCAAGCCAAAGAGTCGCCGAAACGGCAAAACGGCGAAATGAACGAAACAATTACATTACACTACTCCAACAATAAATTTAGAGATAACGACGCTGAGAAGGAGAACGTAAATACGACGTTTGAGAAAGACGACGCGTTCTTCAATGAGGTGGATGTTCATAAGCCTGAAGCGAAGACCAGCTTGAACGTCGCTATGGATAAGCAAGAGCTGAATGAAATTATACAAGCGCGACAGAAGTTGTCCCTTGCTAGGAAGGCGTTGCCTGATGCTGATAGATCACCGCAAAAGGATACGTCGCCGACGAAGACCATACAGCTACCGAATCAGACTATAACGGTGCCGCGACAGACGATGGAGAACGCAGCGGAGTTGCTGTCGAGGAGAAGAATTCAGAGGCAGGAGGAGATGCTGCGCGAGCCACCGAAACGGAATGCGACGTTCAAGAAATCTCCAAAAGCCAACTCGATGGACGCCACCGTTGTCTATGTCAAAGCTGATGAAGCTAACATCATTGATATCAATTCTGCGACTATGCACCTAATAGACAGTACTGAAAGAACGCTACGACCAGGTGTAAGTTTTATCAATTAATAATAATAAAACAATGTGTAGATTATAATCTTGCGGTGTCTGAAATATTAAAGTGTTAGGAATTGTGGTTCCACGTGATAGGAAAGTTGTTAATGTTTACATTGTTGTTTTAGTTCATAACAGTAGTACACAATTTAATGACACTTTAAAGAGTTTAAAACGTGATATATTCGGACGCATCGGCTCCTGCTAAGCAGTCGAAACGTCGGGTCATGATTAAAAATAAGTTAACTATATTTCACGTTTTAAACGGTTAAGTTTTTTTCATTGTACACGATCTTTCATGTAATTTAGCGCGACATTTCACCAAATTTCTTAAAAACGTTGCTATTAATACTTTGCATTGTTAGGAATGGGGTCTAGAAGATCGAGCAATGGTTGGATCCAGCGAGAGCGCAGAAACAGACACGGGTACTTTCAGTTCTAGCAGTCCACCTGACCATACGGATCCCAGTAAGTTGTAGTTTACTATCAGCTCTCAAGATGTCACAAACCGTGACTATATTTACGCAGTTACTTAGTGGTGACCCAGGTCGAAAATAAACTATAATTATATATGTAAATAAATACTAAAATTGTATTTTTGATTATTTTTGAATCCATTGTCCGTTTTTGGCCTGAAATAGATGGTTATATTCAAGTATTTTCTTTCAACTAAAGTATCGACATCGATAGCACTGATGTTTTTTTTATTCAGTTAGATTTATATTTCTATATATGAGATGTTAAGTCCAATATTGTAAATGATATAAACGCCATCTATTGTTGAAATTCAGGTTTGCACGTGGCTTCAACGCCAATGATGCACGTTCGCAAGGGAGCGAAAAAGGACTTAATGGAGCTACACAACACGATATCGCCTATATACGATGTTACGAGCGACAAGTCGTACACAGTGACCAGGGCACCTGATGTTAATGGTAAAAATATATACACTTAGATACACAACATATGTTTCAAGTTAAGTATTGTTTAAAGGTTCAATTTCAAGAAAGAGAGGTGTAAATTTCTGCTTTAATAAAAATATGTTTAATTTTCTTTATATTATTCTATATAAAGAACTAGCTATTCGTACAGAATTTCTCGTAAATCTTACAAGTTCACGACTTTTTATTAGAAAAAAGAATGTATTCATGTTCAATGTACACTTTTAATAAATAAATTTGTATGGACATCTTTTTTAGGTATGGAGAGAACATATGACATGAACACAACAGTAATAAACAGTGCGACAATGGTCAAAAGGAGTGCACCGAAACGTGATATCCTAACTGGAAATTGTACGCCCGAGAAAAAACTTTCAAGCCCAGTACAAACAAAAACGTCTCCTACTAAAGCTATGCCCACATATTCAGGTATAATAAATATATTTCTGTATAGAAAAGGGGAGGGGCCAAGGGGGAATAGTGGATGTGGTGTTAAATGGAACAGAAATAATAATAATAATAAATCTCTTTATTTAGCATTCATTTTGTACAATCATTAGACGCAGTAAAAATAAATGTAATTACAATAAAAAAAATAATAATAAAAGTAAAATAATAGTACTACGACTAGATTAAATTAAATTTTGTTAAAAATGGTGCTAAAAGGGTCTTACGTCAGCATAAGTTGCAGCACTGTTATGCTGCAACACTGATTTTCAGCAAAGCCCTACCGTTCGTCTGTTAGACAGCGCATATACAACCATTTGACAAGTACAACAGTGAAATATAACGGGGGCTTTAGCGGTAAACATTAGGAAGTAATAAATTAATAAAGGGCGAAATTCTTGCGCCCAGCGGTCAAGTGTTCTGATAGTTTAAAAAATGCTTTGTAGAATTTTTTGAAGCCATTAAACTATTATAATTATGGCGGTGGAATATTGTTCCCGCATTTTGTCGCTGAGTAACTGAACGACCCCCTAAAGGCGGCCGAATTATATTTAGGAATTCTCAACCCTCCTGAATTGAGGGGCCTTGTCTGGAAGACACCAAGACACCACCCTATTTTTTTTCAAATGTATGGACTATTTGGATGTTATTGATTAGTGATATATATATATATATATATATATATATATATATATAACATCCAAATAGTCCATACATTTGGATGGTAAAATAATTATTTGTCTGAATTTAAAAAGAAAGTATAATAAATAACAATTATTTTGCTTTTCAGGTTCTAACTCACCAACTATGGCGCCACCGTCTTGCGTACCTCGAAAAATGAGCTTACCTACTTCCAAGCTAAGACAATACAGTTCACATAGAGAGCTTAATAAAATACCAAGTAAGTATTACAGCTTCCTTCTTAATACAAATAGTGTGCAAAACATATTGATATAGACATGTATCCAGGTACCAAAACAAAAACTATTTAGATGAAAATATATCAATGATACGAACGTGTGTCGAATTTACGAACCAAATTTGTGTGTTTCAAAGAATATAGTTTAAGTGTGACCCCCCATGACCATGGCTGCTGCAAAGCGCCCGAAACGTCTTTCTGTAGTTAAAATGAAATATAAATAAGTTAAACTAATATATTTCGCAATTTAAAAGAGGTTTTATTTAAATATATCACGCATGCGAAAAAATAGTATGAAGCTAAATACAGGAAATCAGTAAGAATAATGATAAAAAAAACACATTCTAAATTGATTATTTGTATCAAAGAGTTATTATTAGACCGTTTGTTTGGGTATGTATCAAATAATTTGAATAAAATTTGCAGCAGGTGGTCGTACAATACCCGGCTTACCAGGACGGACAATGATGAGACGCAACGTGTACGCATCGAACCCGGCTCTAAGTCCAACTGCGTCTGCGCATCCACCACTGACACATCTGCCGCAGCGACGGCAGTCCGTTGTAATGCCACCACAGCAGGTAGTTCCATTATAAATGCGAAAGTTTATCAAGTGGATTTCAAATTTATCATTATAAATCGTTTTGATTTGATTTTTAACGGTAGTAATAATGGTGGTAAATTTTAACTAGCACATCCGATTTTCTACTCACGTACTTAAGTTTCTACTGTCCCTGATGTTATATGGTTAAATGCGTTGCCTAGTATTGCATTAAGCGCGAAAGGCTATGGGTTTGAACCTCGAGTCGGTAGGGCCGGGCACGAGTGATCAACTACTTCCCCGTAATTAATACCGATTAGTGTTTCGGACACAGAAATGTGCTCGCCCCATGCCATGGATTTCACTTTCAAACATACTTTACAGTTTGGTGCTTGAATCAGCCAAAGCTCTGAAATAAATAAATTTTGTTTTATTTATACATAAGTTTAGGAAGTTTAAACTCTTATTTACTAGTGATTAAAAACATTTTTGATTTTCAGCAGCGGGAGGCAAACGGCGATTTCCAAGTAGAGAAACTGTCGAAGCCCGCGCTTACAGCGCCACCGGCACTCGTGCGGCAGGGAACGGAAACTCTGCGTAGAGAACGACCGCAAAGCCAATTGGTTCAGCCAAAAGATGTAAGTTTGCTTGTTAAGATGACTTGTTGTTAAAAATGGGTAATACATGGTGGTGTGGGGGGTTCATTTGTGATGTTAATGTGTGTGTTTAATACTTCTGTTGTATGTGTCGGGAGATTGGTGATCAATTGAATAATATCATTGTTTTGTTATTGCTTAATAATCAAGCAGCAACTAAAAAAATAACGTACAATATGCCAACAATTAAAACATGTATGTAGGTTTTTCTAGTGTTTCTGCTGGATTGTTTCTCTCGATAAGATGAGTAAGGTCCTAACAGTTATATTATTTCTTTGAATCTAAAGTCTAGAAAAAAATGTTGTGGTCAAAATATGATTGAATGGTAACAGGAAATTAAAATCGCTAACTAGACTTTTTTTGTCTACAATTGTCTTGAAATTTTGGACCATACTCACAATATAGAGAATGCTCATGTGTTATAACAATTTGTTAACTTGTGTTGAAAGCTGCGTTTGGCCGCAACGGTGTCTAATGCAAGCGGAGTGCCAGTTGCGATGCGGAATCATTACGCTACCGTGAGTTACTAACATACATACAAACATATCACTGCTTTCTGAAGCATGTCGGGAAAATGGGCTATTTGACAGTGTGAAAAATATAGCGTCAATTACTGCTATAAGAATTAAGTATACGTTTAGAAATAGTAAAAATTCACACATGTTATAAATAACAATTCATTTTAATAACCGCAAATAAAAATTAACTTTTTCTAACATTTCTCACGCGACACAAAATTTTCCTGATAGGTCCGGTTTATGACGACATCACTTGCTTAAAAACCACCATGCTTCGTAATGTTAAAACTTATCTTACTTAATTTGTAACTTATTTTATTACTTCAATCACGGTTAAAATGTAAATGTTTGGTACAAATTCATGTGAATTGTAAATCATAGATCGACATACACCGGCGAAATACTACGTCTTAACATCTACCAAATAATATAAGGTACAATTTAAAAATAAGTCAAATAACCCGTTCAGCTTTAGAAATTCATATACAAAATGGGGTATTAATTACATTTAGAAAACCTTAAAAAAAACTACTTGTGATCATAAGCTATTTATTTTATTGCTTTTAATTATTATTTAATGTTAAAGGGCTAAACTATAAGACCAATTTAAAATTTGACTTGTGTTGGTGTTTGGGGGCAAGTGTTACTTCAAAGGGCATATTATAACTGCCGTTGTTAAATATGATTAATGCTGATTATTATTTGACAGCCACCGCCGTCGCGTCCGTCTTCTATTGCGTGCGCGTCGCAACTGCGTGTATCAAGACCGACCTCCGTACCCGCACAGCGACCGGTGCCAGGTTAACATTCAACTCATAATCAATATTCCAACATTGAAATACCCATTTTCTGTTGTGCCATATAAAAAGACGAATATTAAGGTTATAAAGGCTTCGTTCTTTGGTTTATTTCATACCTTTTATTTCAGTTCCTGCTCAAGTAGAACCCCAACGACCACAGACTGGACTTGACGGTCGTGGAAGTGCGTTACCAAGACCGTCTCGGCTACCTGCACCCAGACGTACGCTTAGGTAACTTATTTTATTTAAATTTACGTATTAACTACGCAGTAGGTAAATTTAAAATAAATTAATCCGCTAGAATATTTTTTCCTTCAACGAGAGGGATCATTTTTACGATAGAGGAGGACAGACAAACATGTGATTCAGTACTGTCTATAGTTTACGCGAGTAGTACACATTTAAATAAAAGACTTTAACGGTTTAGAACGCGATATATTAGTTACTAATACTACTACTCAGTATTATTACTAAGTACTAATATATCGCGTTTTAAACCGTTAAAGTGTTTTATGTAAACATGTGTATCACTTATGAAAGGTGTACCTAACCATGTCACATCTGAAAAGGATACACTGTCGTATTATTTTAACTTTGGATATTAGAAAATGTAACCAACCGAAACGCAATTATACTCACGCCCTTTTCATCTGTGAACGGTGTTTCGTGACCTGGTCGGAATTTCGATATTTCTACCACCGATTTGATATCCAGATTTCCAGACAAAGTCTTACATGTTTTAGAAAAAAAAATGATTGGAAACATGTTAGACCCCATGAGGATCGAACCCGTGACTCGCTGTTTATTACAGACATACCTTTACTACATTACATACTACACCAACAAGCACGTCATATTTTTTTTAACGAAAGCCGTAATCTATACTTATATATAAAGTTGAAGAGTTTGTTTGTTTGTTTGAACGCACTAATCTAAGAATTGAATTGAAAAATTATTTTTGTTTTGGTTTTATCGAAGCATTTATCGAGGAAGGTGAAGGCTATAAAACATCGCCCTATGACTTATTCAAGCGAAGATACAAAGAGATATGTGAAGAAAATTGGGAAAATTATTCATCATTATGGGTTTCCGAAGCGTACGCTGCAAAAACGTTTCAAGATACCTAAAAAATGTGTATGACAGAATGATTCCTCTTTAAATGATCTAAAAAAAGTCCGCGACGCTATATGTCTTTCTCTTAAGATTATCTTGCAAGACCGACGGGAAGGAACGTGACCTACGTCGTAGGTAAAAACGAATTTGGATGCTCGAAATAACTAATACGCGAACGAAGTCGCTGGCTCAGCTAGTATTACATAATTAGCAAACATTCTGCCAATTTCTACCTTATCATAATGTATCTTATGTAATGCATCATATAAATATATATATTTTTTGTTCCAGGCCACCTTCAGTATATTCGGTTGCGCCGGCAGCTGATTTGGACCAGTATTGACCATTCGTGCCAATCAATAGGGCGACCCACCCTATTCGCTGTATTTTAAAATTTTGGTATACCAATACTACGACTGAACATGAACCAATGTGTGTTTTTTCTAACGTATTCATACTTTTCCGTTTTTATATGTATTTTAGTATTAAAATCGAGGTCAAACATTTTACATATCGCTCTTTCGACCAATTGCGGTTATCTAATTTAACCTTAATTTTTATAAAAAAACATGTTTGTATGATCAAAAATTTATTATAAACGAATTTGTAACTATTAAAGTTGATATTTTTTATAAAAGGCAGTCTTCTTCGTCAGAGTATTGAGAAAAAAAGGGTCATCTTTTCCTGTGTGGTTATAAAGTCTGGTTATCGTAACGCCTTTTGTTTTTTTTTCTGATCTCTCTAAAAAATGTTAAAGCAATAAATAGAAACATCAATGGCCCTTATTTTCTCTTTACGTCTTAGCATTCATGTTTTTTCTGAGAAAAAACTTTGTAATGTGTATGTCTGTGAGAGGTCAGAAATTCAGTCTTCATCCCTTGAAAGGCATATTGATGTTTCTCCCTCTATCGTTAAATTTTAATAAACGCTCTCTTAAAATTTAAATATATACTTCTAAATTTCCACCTTTAATTTAATTTGGTACAAAGAGTTGAATTTAAGAAACATTGTTTACAAAATTAGTTTGTAACGAAGCAAAAAATTAAAGGAAAATAAATTATTTATTTTGGTTAAGACATTCGCATTTTTGCATATTTCATTAGAGATTTATTGATTAGGGACATGTTATTAATTCTCTTTACACGATAAATTTACTATATACAAGTAATTACTAACGTTTTTTTAATAAAAATTGGAAAAAGTAGAACAGAAGCGTACGCACAAACCATTATTTTTAAATTTTTTGATGCAAATTCGTTTTTTCTTTGTTAATGAACACGTATTTGTAGAAAATTGTTGTATATTATGTAAAAACTATTACTATTAATATACTTTTTAAGTCTGTATATTGCCTCTTTTTACGACATATCAATCAAAATATTTTTCCAATACTATAACCGCTTCGCTTTAAAATCAAATCATGTTATCTTATTACTAAGACCACTAAAGCTTCCTTAGATATTTATATTTTCTTAAATTTTACTACATTTAAAGCAGTATGTAATACAATTCTGATTTTCACATCATTCTTATATTCCTATCAAAATCTTTACCACACACCTTGGTAATTTTATTAAGCTAAAGCCCACATGTGACTGATTATACTCTCTGATACAGTTGTTCCGCGGATTTTAAAAAATACTCATATATTTATAAAAGATAGTTATATGTATAAATATAAACATTGAAGCCTGATATCTTCCTTTAACCATGATAACCATTGTCGCCATAAAGTAATGTGTCTGCTTCCACCTTATCATTTATGCTGTGCGGTTATTTTGACACATCGTGCCTTATTTAGGTAGAGTAAGGAATTTTGTTTTCATTTTCTAATAAAACTTGTATTTACACATGAATTGTTTTATTTCTACTGTCTTTCCTTAGCCTTTGATGAGAAGTATTATTCTACAACATTACAAGTAATTACTACTTCCTAAATTTTCTACATATATTAATACTAGCCGTGTCATCGACTTCGTCCGCGTAGAACAGTTATTTTGGCATCAGTCGCGTCCTGTCGCTCGCGACCCGTCGCTCGCGACCCGTCGCTCTTGCAAGTTAATCTTAAAATATAGATATAATATAGTGTCGCGGAGATTTAGATCATTTAAAGGGAAATCATTCTTTCATACAATTTTTTTAGTTATCTCGAACCATTTTGGCAGCGTACACATCGAAAACCCACACAAATGAGAAATTCCCCCGTTTTGTTCACTTTTCACGGTGTATCTTTGCTTTTATAAGTCACAGCGCAATGTTGTATGGCCTTATAGCCTTCCTCGATAAATGCTCTAACAAACACAAAAATAATTTTTCAATTCGAACCCGTAATTCCTGAGATTAACGCGTTCAAACAAACTCTTTAGCTTTATATATTAGGAGGTATAGATGTACGATATAATATAATGATAAGATGGGGGAAAAGAATTCGTTATTTTTGGTAGAAGGCGTATATACGGTTACAATGTGAAGTCCTGATCTTTACATAAAAATAGTGGTTTCCTTTTTCCGAACCAAAAATATTATTCATAAAAAAATATGTATCTAATAAACATTTTTAACTGTTTCTACCACGATATTTAATAGTGGTCACGAAACCACGGTAAAATGGTTTAAATAAAAATTTAAAAAAAAGTTATTAGATAGAGTTTTAAGACGTTAAAATGTTATTTATATAACGATGCTCTATTCGCGTAAACTACAGACAATATTTAATATGTAATATAATAAAACAATACCCTTTTAATTGAAGAGGGCCTCGAAATGAAAGTTGCTCAGGCTCACTAGGGACATAAAAAGCAAAGATTATTTTTTAATAAAATATGAAGTTTTATCACTGGATAAAAGCAGATAATTTTAATAACAGTTAGTAACACCAAGTAACTTTTGAAAATGCCTTACCAACATACAAGATCATCGGGAGTTATAATTGATTAGTTACATTTTATGATATGTTATTATTTTTGTAATACATCTTAAAGAAAATAATGTTCAAACAATATTTATTAATTAAATTATATTAAATATAAGAACAAAGTTGCCATCTTCAAGAAAGTTCTATATTTGTTATCTGTATCTCGATGACAAATGTGTGCGTGTGTATGTTGTGTAAAACGAAATCGCACATCTGCGCCAGTGTGCAACGTCGCGAGTACGGACTGCTGAATAGTTTTTGCTTTGTAAGCTTTTATTTTTGTAAATAATGGACTAAAACGGTTTGATAAGTGATAAGTAAACACATAGTGACATGAAATGCGATATATCTTTGAAATAACTATGAAATTATACAGTGTTGTTGTCTACAAGTACTATGTGATTCCGTGCAATAACTCGTCACTTTGGTTGTTTGTCAATGACGTCTGCGTTTAGCGCAACGAATAGTAAAATTATTAAAGTTTGATTGTGACAAGTAGTGAAAACATAAGTAAATTAAGTGTTACAGTCGATGCGTGTTAAAATGGATGAGTGTTTCGTGCAGTGGTACAATTTTAACACAACAGGGGCCAACAGAGGTGGCTCATGAAGAAAGGGTTAGTTTACATCTTATTTGATAGCTTATATCTTCAGGAACTTACATATATTACCTTCTAATATGATACTATCTAAGTAAGCAAGTTATGTTTAAAAAGTGCCAGCCAACAACCAATGTTTTGCTTCGCTAACTTTGAGATTATAGGTTATGATACAACTAATGTTGTTTATGATGTCGTAATTTTGCATTTCTGGGTTAAAAATGTAGATGAATGCAAGAGCTAGTATGTGTATTGCGTACCCGGATGCCGTAGTCATGACTTGAAGCTAGGATGTATTATTTCTCTTGTTACTTTCTCTTCTTGATGAAGTGAAGGGAGTGACAGTGACAGCACGATTGTATTATACTATAGTAGAGCGAGATGGTGATAGATGTTACTACTGTGTTTTGGATGTGTAACTTGCTTTTCTGGTAGATAAAGCTATGGTCAACTTATTTAATCAACTATTAAGCCTATGTTTAAATATACATTTGGAGGTAATTGGTTTAGTATTACATTATCCAATAGGTTTTATATTTGTTTAAATTAACTATTTTACTAGCCAAAATTACATTTCCACACTAATTATATGTCAGCTTTCTATGGAACTCATTCACAATAGTAGAAGAGATAGTTTATTTACAATTGTATGGATCATGTTTCAATTCTAAAGGTTTCATAAATAGAATGTATAACATTTTAAAAAGATAAAATAGTCGTTTTTATAATAACATTGTAGTAACATGAGAATTAAATATTGCAAGAAGTAACAATCAATTGACGTGTAATTAATATCCAATAGACTCTACATTCTACTGAGATACAAGAAATACACACTTAGTTTAACATAGGTTCCAGTTTTATTCTCCCAGCAAGAACTTACACATACAAGACTTTTATTTATTGAAAAATTATACTTTTGGCAGGTAGTCAATTCTAACTCATTGTAGTTCTCATCTTTATTATTTATTATCATCTTTATAATCAGGTTAAGATTAAAAGAAACAACAACAAGAAGTCATAAAATAAATGTATTATATTAAAAATACTTTTAACAGCTTCCTTGCTCCTTCTTGGGCTGGTGGTTAGTTCACATGACTGCTGATTATTTTATTGATACCTTCTACTAGTTTTTCTCAATACTACAGCTTAAACTTAGAAAGTATCCAAAACATATAAATACTTCCCCCATGTCCCACTGCGGGAATCAGGAATGCAGGAATTTACTAATTATTTTTAGGTTTATATTTTACTTTTACTTATTACTAGTAGAGTAGTATATTTATTTAATGTTTTTTTTTATTCTTACTCTTATTAAAACACTGTTTAACTCTCATCAAAAACAGTGCTTATTGTGAGCCAAAACTGGTTATTTTTGTACACTGACAAGTAAAAAAACCTTGACCTGACATCAAGAGATATGTCAAAGAGGTAGTTAGTATGTCTTGCCATCCTAATAGCGGTGTAAAGAGATTTTAATCATCAATTTTTATTAATGTAACATCTGTCCAAAGAAAAAAGTCTGATATAAGCAAATATAATTCATACAAAATGTTTAAATATAATATCTTTCTTTTGGGTACTAAAATAACTCCATGTTTACCTCAAAGTGACATAATGGTATATGATATTGTCCTAGAAGATAATATCAATCCAAACCAAATGTAATATGAAAAAATGCCACAAAAAATGCTGCTTTTTCACTGCTTTGCTGCTCTTATTGTATCATCAAGAGAGTCCACTTTAAAATCTCTTTGACCAACCTCATAAAATATGAACATATATGTCAAATGTTATCTTAGGCAGAAATAAAAGAGTCATTGAATCCAGC